CTGGAGCTGCTGGCTGTGGAGGCGGTGGGTGGAGTGACGTCGGCGTCAGCGGTGGGTGGAGCGATGTCGGCAAGGGTGGACGGAGTGACGTCGGCGTTGGCGGTGAGCGGAGTTGCATCGGCATCGGCGGTGGGCGGAGTTGCGTCGGCGGTGGGCGGAGCGGGGTAGGCGGCGGCAGCCCCAGTGTCGGCAGGTGCGTCCTCAGTGTCTGTGGTGTTGGCCTCGGAAATGGAGGCGGTGGCATCAGCAGCGGTGTCCATGGTGTTCGCTGTCCCGGACGTGGTGTACCCGCCGGCGGCGGATGTGATGTCATCTGTGGGTGCTCCAAAAGTGGCCACATGGCCAATGGCGGCGGGCACATTGTGGGGAAAGTCCTGGGTAGGGTTGGGGATTTGGGGGTTGGAGGAAGCCCGTTTTGGGTGGCAGGCACCAGTAAGTTTACTGTACTTACGGTTTTTAGTGTCCAATAAAGCTGAGTAGAATTGTGAGTTCAGGTTGTGGATCCCATGAAGAATAAAAAACAGGAGAGGTCCTTTGCAGGTCTGGGAGAGGGAGGCTCTGAGCTGGGGTAGGCTTGAGTGTAGTGCCAGGAGATACTGGCGCATTGCTGCGAATGTGTGTTTCAGGAGGCGCAGGGAGAAACGTTTTTGAAGGATCTCAATGTTCTAAATGTAGACATTGTCGCGGTTGGGGCCAAATTGGGAAGGCCTAAATGTGGACTGTAGTCCACTGGGGATGATCCGGTTCCATAGGCAGGTACTAAGAAAGGTAACGTGGCTGTAGTACCTGGTTTGCTTCAGGATGTGGTCGAGCAGTTTCAGGGCCGAAGAGATTATGAGAGAGTTGCAGTGGGAGAGAGATCCACTGAGGTCTTTTCAGAGGGAGGAGGATAACTTCTTCAAGGTAGGCATCCTTAGAAGAGGCTTCGCAGTGGGATTAAAATTGTTTCAGAGATAGTAGGAACTGAAGATGCTGGAGAATCTGAGATAACAAGGTGTAGAGCTGGATGAACACAGCAGGCCGAGCAGCATCAGAGGAGCAGGAAAGTTGACGTTTCGGGCCTAGACCCTTCTTCAGAAATGGGGGAGGGGAAGGGGGTTCTGAAATAAATAGGGAGAGAGGCGGAGGCGGATAGAAGATGGATAGAGAAGATAGGTGGAGAGAAGACAGACAGGTCAAAGAGGCGGGGATGGAGCCAGTAAAGGTGAGTGAAGGTGGGGAGTGAGGGAGGGGATAGGTCAGTCCACGGAGGACGGACAGGTCAAGGGGGCGGGATGAGGTTAGTGGCTAGGAGATGGAGGTGGGGCTTGAGGTGGGAGGAGGGAATAGGTGGGAGGAAGGACAGGTTAGGGAGGCCGGGACGAGCTGGGCTGGTTTGGGGATGCGGTAGGGGAAGGGGAGATTTTGAAGCTTGTGAAGTGCACAATTGGGCTGCAGGGTTCCCAAGCGGAATATGAGTTGCTGTTCCTGCAACCTTCAGGTGGCATCGTTGTGGCACTGCAGGAGGCCCAGGATGGACATGTCATCTGAGGAATGGGAGGGGGAGTTGAAATGGTTTGCGACTGGGAAGTGCAGTTGTTTAGTGCGAACCGAGCGTAGGTGTTCCGCTAAGCGGTCCCCAAGCCTCCGCTTGGTTTCCCTGATGTAGAGGAGGCCACAACGGGAACAGCGGATACAGTGTACCACATTAGCAGATGTGCAGGTGTGGATCTGCTTGATGTGGAAAGTCTTCTTGGGGCCTGGGATGGAGGTGAGGGAGGAGGTGTAGGGGCAGGTGTAGCACTTCCTGCGGTTGCAGGGAAAAGTGCCAGGTGTGGTGGGGCTGGAGGGGAGTGTGGAGCGGACAAGGGAGTCCTGGAGAGAGTGATCCCTCCAGAAAACAGATAAGGGTGGGGAGGGAAAAATGTCTTTGGTGGTGGGGTCGGATTGCAGATGGCGGAAGTGTCGGAGGATGATGCGTTGGATCCGGAGGTTGGTGGGGTGGTACGTGAGGACGAGGGGGATTCTGTTTTGGTTGTTTTTGCAGGGAGGGGTTGAGGGATGAGTTGCGGGAGACACGGTCGAGGGCGTTCTCGACCACTGAGAGGGGGGAAGTTGCGGTCCTTGAAAAACGAATACGGAAAACAAAAACAGATATTGTGAGTGAATTCGAGTTATGGCTCCCACCTTCTGATGCAGGCCAAAGGTGGTAACAGAGGCAGGCAGATGCCAAAATTAGAAGGCCTGCTTTGTTGACTGGAACATTAGCGAAGTTCAATTCATGATTTTTCGGCCCTCTAGCCCTCACATCTCACCCTCAAAACCTTTCTCTACACTCCCTTATCTCGCAAGTTCCTCCAAAACTCTTTATGTCTCCCATTTTTCTTCTGATGCATCCTCCATAGCCAGTAACCCTATATCCTGTCTATACAGAATCAATGAGCTACATATTTATTTGTATTTGTAAAACACTCATGAATTTAAAGAACAGTTATCAGATATTCAACATTCTCTTTGAACAAACCTTTAATTTTATCCAAATCAAAGCAGTGAAAAAGCACCACAAAGAAAGATCAAGCTAATACAAAATAATAAAGCTGTCATTCAAAGTCAATGAAATTTTCATTGAAGGAGATTTTAATCTTGTTTTGAACAGTTAATCAAGATAACTCATTTGCAAGATGGCCTCATTATGAGTGCTAGCCTAAGCTTCAAGAATGACTAATAGCCTTAGCTAGTAAAGATTTACTCAGTTGCAAAGTAGTTAATTCCCTTGTAATTTTGATCTTTCTTTGACATGTTTTTCACCATGTGTGTGTTTATTTGGATGAGAATAAATATTTCTATGATGGAAAATCCATTAGCTTTGTTTGAGTGGCAGATTTATTATCTTATAACAACTTGTTTTTTCAAAGTCATTTTGCAATGTGATTGTTTATTTGGACAAGATTAAAAGTTTCTTCAAAGTGAATGCTGATTAATTTTTTCAAACAATCATGAGCATTTCAAAGGCTTATCAGTGTTACTATATGGCCCATTTGTTCTATACCACAATTACTGAAAGATTATTTCAAAGGCATTGCAGATGTCAGGACATGAAGTTAATGTGAAAATCAATTCAGTACATTGAAAAAATATTTGAATCACCATAAACCATTCCAGTATGACTACTGAAGTTGACAAGAGCTTTTAAAGTGACTTCACAGCAGGCTTCCTCCAAAGTTGACAGCCGACTTGCCTGGTGTGGTTCCCATAGCCTTCAGGAATCCACCAATTTACATGAAAATACCAAAGGCAGTGAAACTTGTTATTAGAGTAGGCATACGAATAGTGAATCTAAGTCACTTCAAGTGGGTGTTGGCCTACAAGCCAATACAATTCCCAAATCAATGAAAATGGCAGAGAAGTAAGTTGGAGGAGAAATTTTTAATGTGGTCGCAGCAGTCTGATATTATGTCCTCCTGCTTGGGTTCATTCAGCATTTGGAAATGAAAGCTTAGCCCAAGGTATCTATGCGTAGACCATTTGCAGTTTGCAAATCAGAAAGATTGAGATGACAGAGCATTAAATATCAGAACATTGACTAGGTATGTGCATACCATCATCTTTAATACATCAGCTACAATCATGGCTGCTCCAATAATGGTGAGGTCATGCAGGTGCAGCTTTCCTTTGTTGAGCAGATATTGCCATCTCCAGTTATGTGACACCTTGTCTTGAAAGAGAGACTGAACTGTATCAGCAGGTATGGTGCAATTCATTTGGGTCATGTGGCTGTCATGGTTGAACAGTATCTGTAAGCTGCAAGATGTTGATGGAAAGGTTGCAGCAGTGTTAAGTGTGTGAGAGTGAGGTGTAGCTAAGAATGTTAGGCATGAGTCATGCTGAATAGAGAATGTTGGTGGGTGAAAGTAGAGGGGATGGTGAATTAGCAGTGTGAGACTCTTATGTCATCAGCCAGGCAACGGCATGTGAAGATGCATTCACTGACTTTGTCAACTGTGAAAACATTCAACTATTGGTAGTATTGCTTCTAGTCCTTGGACTTGACTAGTGGTATTACCTACAACAGTACTCCAGTCATACTACTTTGCGTGGATGGCTTCCAGTGGATGGGGGATCCTTCTGACCATCTTGTGTACCAAGCCCTATAATACAGGATCTGAGAATCTTAGAGCACACTGTCTTCCCTGTTGCAACACTAGTCGTTGTTCTTACAGGTCAATCTCTCTTTCTTGTCAGAATCAACAATAGTTTTAGTCTAAATGTACTTATTTTTTAAGAGGTGCAGGTTGATTCTAAATAATGCAGGCTAACCCTAAGTGCTGGTAGACTTGTATAAACTTGGTCTCCCTGCTGAGGCATGAAGTCACTCTAGTGTTGGAATGTGTGCTACAATCATTAAAATTAACAGGCATGGTGATGTTATCAGGTTATCTGCTTTGGAAACAATGAATTAATTATACATCATGCAGCTGATGTCTGTTTCTGTAGCTATCAAATTTTGCTTCCCAATAGGTCTGAGTGATTTAGGATTTTGAGTTGTAAAGTACATAATTTCTGCAGGAAAAGAAAACTGCAGGATTGGAGCTTTTTGTTCATATGGAATGCAAACCATTGCACCAGGGAAGGCTCATTAAACTATATGAAAATTATATCTCACTAATGGTAATGAACTGTACTCACCCTGTCATAAATATTCATCTAGATCAGATCTTTGGAGAGATCCAATGCTTAAAAACGAAACAGTAGTCTAGATATGTTAAGTTTCGTATTTAAGTAAAATAAAGCGTTTTAAAAACAATATACTTTTTTTGCTAAATACTATTTCTACTTTACATTTTAAAAGCATATATATTTTAAAATTAGTGACTTTTTATATTAGTAACTGACATACCCTAGCCAATTTAACAAAATAACTTTTTTGAGCACTTCTTTAAAGTTTTGATTTTGCAATATATTTTTGATTTCTAAAAAGATTTATAGAAAATATTGAAAAGACTTGAAGAATAACTTCTTACCTCTTACATCCCAGTCTACATGAGTAATGTAACTAGAAGCCCCTTTACATATTCCAACTCTTTTACTTGAAAGCACATTGTAGATGTCCACAAAATTATCATGCGAAGCTACTGCCAAGTATTTCCCTGCATCTAGGAGCATAATAAATGTTATTAATAATCAGCAACATATTCATGCTCTAAGTCACTTTATAATAGAGTAGCATAGGACGAATCACAAAGGTTAGTGGAAAAACGACATCACTCCCACTTATCCCATCACAGCACTACCATGCCTACTAATGATCTAACACCTAATGATGCAATCCTCAAACAGGCCATCAAAGGCTGAAGAATTCCTCTTCAATTTTTTAAGGCAATCAATAAAATTCTAAGGGAAAGGTGGTCCTCATAAATAACCATAATTTCAACAACTAACAATGATATAGATGTACCTCTTCCCTTAAAAGGTGAGTTTTTTCTCTCAGTCAAGGGAGTAGAATAAAGCAAGGTGCTTCCCTATAAATTAGGAACTTCAGGCTATTCTTCCTAGTGACCTTAGTGCCACCAATGTTCCCTTTAAAACTTAAATGTAATCCATCATCAATTTTTCTCAATGCATAATCCCTTTACATTGTCACATTCATGATAGAACAGGATGTGATCAGCATCTTCTAAACTGCCATGCTCCTACATAGCTAAACTGGAACATATTTGTTTGACACCTTTCATATTCAAGAATGATGTATGCAATGATGTTAATCTACAGAAAAGAAGCTGAGGAATATATAAATGAACTACTTAGAAAGTACAAAAAATGGATTTGTATCATGCCCAGATATCAATTTTTACGTTTAATTTCCCAGATGTTAAATTTGTGACATTGAAGGAAAAGAGTCATTCTCACTGAGCCACAATTGAAAATCAGAGGGCAGAATCCTACAATTCTCCTACATACCCTCACGGATGTTTAAAAATAGCACTGGTAGACGGATTTGTAAATTCAGACAGCACAATGCCAGCTTTTCCATCCAGCCGAGGCTTGGGGCGTGAAAGCAGACTTATTTGTAGAAGTGTGAATAAAGACAGTTATGGTGGGCGCGACTGGAACATAAGGTGAATGGGAAAATAAGGACCAGCATCAGAGGGCATTGTAAGTTATGGGAGAGGAGTTACTGCCTATGTTTATCAGTATTGTTTCCAAACAGAAGAGCGTAAAAGAGCAGGATGGGCGTCGTCCAGGTATAAGTGGGGTTTGGGGATCAGGGCAAACAGTTGCAGGCAAATGTAGTGAATGGATAGAAATTGATATTGGGGTGCTGCAAAGTAAAAGGGAACATGGAGGCTCTGGGGGTACCTGGTGACAAGTAAATTGTGTGGTGTGGTAGTTATACAGCAACTAGGGTGAGAGAGGTTGTATATGCGAGGGTGTGTCAGTCATGCTGTCTATGTGTGGTAGGTAGCGTGGCTTCATAGTTGCTGTACTAATGTGCTGCCAGTGAGGGGCAATGCTGCATTGCCAACTCTTGTCCAGGTGCATAGTGGCCTTCCAAAGCTGCATGTTAGCAAGTAAGGCAGGTCTTTTTGCATCTGTCTGCTGAGTGGTGAATTGTTCCAGGAACATTGCACGCTAAGGTGGATGGAAATCGGAGGCGAGAGATATCATAGAGGCACGGTAGGTAATTAATGAGAAGAGTTTGGGAAGGTAAAGCAAGACAATTCACTAGGCTATGTGGTGAATAACCCTCCAAAAAACTCAGTACATCCCCTAGATATAGTAAGAACTGCCGATGCTGGAGTCAGAGATAACACAGTGTGGAGCTGGAGGAACATGGCAGGCCAGGCAGCACCAGGAGCTTTCCTGTTCCTCTGATGCTGCCTGGCCTGCTGTGTTTCTCCAGCTCCACACTGTGTTATCTCAGCACAATCCCCTGGTGTTATAAGCAATGGTAGAGCATGGCTTTCAGTTGGTATCCCTTTCTTGATATCCAAACCCTCAGTCAAGTATGGATTGCCCTTTACCAAAGTAATCCACCGCCCCTCACCATCTCAGGTGACAATCAGTCTTCACAGTTTGACCTATTGTGTATTTTGCACAGTAACAGGCCTGCTTGCAGCTGGTTTAATCCTGGTGGCAGCAGAATTAAAGCTCTTAAGTGGTCCTTAATTGGTCACTTAAGTATTTTATTTGGTAGCAAAACATGGCAGTTGACCAACAGCTTTTCTGCCCAAACCTTAATTCTGATAGAGTCATGAAGATGGTGGATTTCTGGGGGTTGTGCTGAATTTTTTGGAGGGTTATTCACCAATATAGCCTAATGAATTGTCTTGCTGTATCTTTCCAAGTTTCAAGTGTGTGGGTTTCATGTATGAAACTACTGCACCTAATTAAATATCCTTCCTGCTTCTAAATTTGTCACCAGCAAGAACAGAAGATTCTGCCCATTGTGTGGGAACACCCAGTCAAATGAAGAGTGCATGAGTGTAGTTCACAAAAATGACAAGAAAGAATTGTTTTTTTTAACAATGCAGATAAAAGAGCCAAGGGGTGTCACAATTAGTAAGAGGTGCATCATATTTGGGGGTATATTGAGTCCTGACATGAAAACAGGGCTGGATTATTATTAAGACAGCAAGAGGATTACTAAATTGAATCAGTAACTTTACATTAATGTTTATTCGAAGGGCAGACATGGATAACTTGTTGCAACCCCTTTGCTTCCAGTCTCCTCTGAGAAAAAGAACAATTAATTTATATCGCCTCAATTTGTTTAACCTTGCTATTGTGGCCTTCTTGTGGCCTTCTAGATTTAGAAAGGGAACTGCTAATTGGTCATTAATTTATAATATTGTCATTTCTCTTTTTGAAAGAACAATATAAGATTAACAATTGAAGTATAACATTTTCTTGCCAGAGTGGAGATGGATTGTTTATGTTGTTATGGTCACAGGTCAGGTTCCTGAAGTACTGAGAACATCTTTAACTTGTCATTCAAAAATGTTGTTTTTAAAAGAGGACTGATATAGCCAAAAATAGCTATGGATATGAACTAAGTGGCTGAGATATTGATGGAATGTAACACCTAAAGTGTTAAAGAAATTTCAGACAGACTGGGAGTACTTGTGACTCAAAAGAGTAACGAGGGGTTGATGACTCCCTGTTCAACAGAAAGCCACCCACTATGGATTACATCGAATACTGCAGACACATTCTATATTTCACCCTTGGAGAATACGCAGGACAGGGGTTTAGAAGCCAGTTTCTACTCCAATAGAGTGTACTAGTGAGACTGAACCAGCCTGGTTTTGAGCATTAGTGTGCTGTGAAGAACTATGCCCTGGTTATACTTGTGTTGCAGCTAAAGCCTCTCTCTGGCTCAGAGTGCCACAAACCAGTTAAAAAGGAAAGATACCAATGGGCCTGTCTCTCACCCTGAATGCTGGAATTCAATCATGGTCAAAAGGAAACAGAACTACAGAATCTCAACCAGGCTACAAAACTAAGGATAGTGAAACTTACCGTTCAGTGATCAACATCAATACTCTTGCTAACCTCCACTGCAGCAGCACGATGTTCAATGATCTGCTCTTTGTGAACATTTCAGAGAATGATTCGTATAACATTTTTTAAAACTTATTATTTTTGTATTCACCTCTTATTTCTAAATCTATGTATATATGTGTTGTGTCCCTAATTCTTCTCACATTTATTAATTAATAAAATTGCTCTTTTTGTTAATTCAAGGATGCCTGGCTAAATTGATTCCTTTTTCAAATGTAAGTTCATTTGTTCTAGGAGCAACACCTTCACAAAGGATGGATCCTTTTCAAATTAACCTTGTTGCAATCAGCAAAGAGCGAGGGTGACTAAAGAAGGGGAGTCAGTTCATCCTACCTCACCTTGTTGGAGTCTAGTCATAACAATGGATAGCAAATGAAGACTTCTTCGCCAAGAAAGGAGTGAAAATCCCAATTTCTTAAAATGGGGTGATATATCATTTAGGACTGAATGTTCAAATCCGCTTTCGTCACTCAGGAATACAAATTAAATTTACAAACAAACTCCCAGAAACACAAGCATTGTACAGATAGCTCTTATTTTGTAGGGATGTTGTCATTTAATGTAGAGGTGAGACCTGAAACTGGTGATGAACTCCCCGACGTCTCCTTTGCAGCCTATAACTGCATCATACACTTGTCTTTTTTTGAGATTCCTCATTTGAGAAACATCAAGCATGAGAACACTGAGATAATTATTTCCTAAAATGCATCAATATTATTTCCATTTCTAACTTTAAAAAATAATTTAGTTCTTAATCTCACCTTCTCAGATCATTTATTTCACCTTTCTTTTTAGCTTTATTACACTGTGGGGGTGGAGGTAGAACTAATTTGTGCAGCAATACAAGCAGACTTATGTCAAATAACATTCTAAGTGGTTCATACAAAGTTCTTCTTTGATACCGCTAAAGAACCCTACTTAAATGATGGTAACCCATGGTGTTGCTTACCTTAATAAATTAACCTAGGTCTGCTCAGGCATGAGGAGAAATTACTTCACTCAAAGAGTCGTGAATCTGTAGAATTCACTACCCAGAGAGTGGTAGATGCTGCACTGAGTAAATTTAACGGGGAGACTGATTTTTATTTAGTAATGGGTTGAGGTTATGGAGACCGGGTAGGAGTCGAGTTGAAATTGAGATGAGATCAGTCTACTTCTGTTCCCAGTCTTATGTTTTACCCATTTGCTTTGCCAACACCACACAATTAGCACATCTGGGGCACTCTGTCCGATGTTAGGTTTACAGAAGTGGGAATTTTTATAACTCTTTGATCCCAATATAAGTGTGAATAGGCAGACCATTTTTACCAATTCCATCTAAATGCTACAGTGACATTATTTTCAAACTTGACAGATACAACTGGAAAAAAAGGCAAAAGCTGCTTTACTTCTGCTTTACCTGGTGAAAATTTTATATCTGATATATTTTCCTTCCTGTGGTGAAAAGATACTATATCTTCCAGGGTATCAGCATTGACTACATGAAAACTCCCATCATTTAACCCAACGGCTAAGAATTTTCCATCTGGTGAGAAAGCACAACATCTGCCACCTAAAAGAAGGAATAAGAACAGACAGAACTTAATATTTTCAAACCAACAAATAATAATAAAACATTTCTTTTGGGGCTATTTTTGTCTTATTTTGTTACTTTTTTTTAAACACAAAATTATTCTATCCTCTCACAAAGAGAGATTGGTTTAGTGAGCAAGTAATCTTATTGATTCTGTCCTCCCTCCCTACAATTTTTGTTCAATTCCATAGCACCTTATGGTCATAATGAAAGTACAGTGTAGTGATTGTAATGAGGTCAGCCAGGTGGACCTCACAGAATATGAGTTCTCCGATTGGAGCTGTTAATCTGGTCCAATCAGGGAACCCTGGCTGACATATATAAACCTGAGAGTCAGAGATTCTGTTTACACTGAGAGCTGGCACTGAGGAAGCTGGATCAGTGTCAAGGATTTTCCAGATGTCAATAAAGAATGACTTGGTGGTGGAACACCAGCTTCTGTGGAGTTAGTTCAGTGGCAATGAGAGAAAAGCATGCTCCTGAAGAAATCCATTCACAACAGTCATCTTTGAGTTGGGGTAAACCTTTCTGGCATCATGCTGTTACTTGGGAAGCTTGACCAGTTCAATTCTGCTGTTGAAGTCTGGGCCCAGCACATGGAAAGAAATCATGATGTTTTCTAGGCAAATGATATTGGAGATGAAAAGCAGATGAAAAGCAACAAGTAATCTCCCGGCAGCTTGTGTACCGGCACTGTTTTCCATTTTTTAGGAACCTAACTTTCCCTGAGGCACCAGATACTGAAACCTTTCAAGAGTTGACGGATTTAGTTAAGCAACATTGCAACTCCGAGCCTCCTCCAATTCGAGACGCTATCAATTTTACTCAGCAAATTCGAGAACCATGGGAATCCATATCAGGATTGTTGACTAGGTTGAGATAAATAGCAGAAGCATATAACTTTGTTTAACTTTTAATGAGATGCTGAGAGACCATTTGGTGTGTGGGATTAATGATATAACCATACAAAAGTACTTACTGGCTGAAGCACAACTGGACTTCAAACAGGCACTGCAACTGGTTTTATCAGTGGAGAATGTGGCAAGTGGAGCATACGAGTTGCACGAGATGGAACTGAAGTTTGACCGAACTTGGGGGACACCACTTGAGTGAAGGCAATTGCATAGCCTCACTCAGTTCAGCCCACACAAAACCCCAAAACGTAGCCAACTCTCAGCCAAACGGTTACAATGTCACAATGTTCTCCAGGATCGGGGGCGTGGGGGACGGGGGAGTCAGCCCTTGTAGTTGCTGCTGTTATGCAGACTTGAGACAGCAAAATAGTCCCACTAGACCTAAATTGAGTTTGAGAACGCATAGGCCTGTATCCAGGAGAGTGCACACCCTGGAAAGTCCACCTATATCTGGTTTGGAACAGTTAAATTGCTTAGCAACATTTAAATTAGAACCAATCAAAATAAACGTCTGTTGAAATGGTAACCCAGTTCTAATGGAGGCCGATACTAGTGCAGCCGTTTCAGTGATTGCAGAACCAGTCTTTAACAAAACTCGCTCTGGACTCCAACCCTTAAGTTTACACAAGACCTTGGCTAGACTAAGAGCCTATACCGGGGCACCTTTACAGATTAAGGGTACAACTTCGGTTCCGGCCTATTATGAGAAGCAGCTAGTTCAGTTACCACTGATTGTCGTAAAAGCTTGATGGCGCGAAATTGGTTGAGAGTGATTCACCTAGGTTGCCTCAACAGTTTTTAATTAGAAAATGGTTGCCTGAGTGAAGTCCTAATTAAATACATGCATGTTTTTCAGGGAGGTCTAGGGACTATCAAAGGAGTCAAGGCTACATTGCATGTTGGCCAGGAAGCAATTCCATGATTCTGCAAGCTCCACCTAGTGCAGTTTGCCTTATGGGCAAAAGTAGAGGCAGAAATCAAAAGGCTGTAAAGCAAAGGAATCATCAAATCAGTCCAGTTTGCAGAATGGGCAGCACTGGTTGTACTGATTGTGAAACTTGACAGGTCAGATCGCCTTTGTGGCGATTTCAAAAAAATGGTAAACTTCTTTTTGCAGCTGAATAAATATCCAAAGCCTTGCATAGAGGATTTATATGCAGAGCTGGCAGGGGAGCTGTCAGTCACAAAGCTAGACATGAACCATACACTTTTACAATTACAGTTATATGAGGATTCCCAGAAGTAAGCTACAATTAATACCCACAAGAGTTTGTACCAATATACAAGACTACCATTTGGGATATTGTCAGCCCGTGCAATTTTTCAGCAGATGATGGAGGGCATCTTAGAAAGCTGCCATTTATCTAAATCACACGCTAATGACAGAGAAGACCAATAAGGAGCTCTTAAGAGAACTTGGACATAGTCCTTAGATGTTTCACCCAGGCGTCCGTACGTCTTAGAAAGGAAAAATGTGTGGTCCGGGCACCCCAAGTGACCTACTTAGGCTGCAGAGCCGACGAGACAGGTTTACACCGTTAGAAATAAAAGTGAGGGTGATCAAAGGTGCCCCAGCTTCCAATTCTGTACCAGATCTTAGATTTTGTCTTGGGTTGGTGAATTATGATAGAAAGTTAACACATAACCTGGCCTCCATCCTGGCACCTTTGTCTCAACTCTTGAAAAAAGGGTTGGAATGGTCGTTAGCCAAGCCATAGCCCTCAGGGAAGTGAAGAAACAGCTTTCATCCTTTAAAGTACTGGCACACCATGGTCCCAAGTGAAAACTAGTATTGATATGCAATGCTGCCCTGTATGGCAGTGAGGTAGTATTAGCTGATATTAGCATAGGTGGCCCAGTGGAGAGGAATGCCCAATAGCATATGCACCCAGGATTTTGGCAATTGCTGAGCATAAATATGCCCAGATAGAGAAGGAATGTTTGGAGTCATATTTGGAGTCAGGAAGTTTAACCAATACCTTTACAGATGTAAATTTGGAATAATAGCGGACATTAAACCCCTGCTAGTTCTAAGGAAGACAAGGCAGTGCCAACCGTAGCTTCAGGCCAAACTCAGTGATGGACTCTAATATCAAGTGCATATAATTACAAGTTGGAACACAGTTAGGGAGGCCATGTAGCAAACACGGATGCATTGACCCGCCTCCCACTGACGGATACGCCATCGGTGGTACTGCCACTGGAACAGTCTGTAATGGTTTTAAATTTTCTGGACACACTTCCAGTCACAGCTGAAAATATCAGACTTTGGATGCAGAAAGATCCCGTCCTGGCAAAACTGATACAGCTGGTGGTGATGGGGGAAACCAAAGGGTCACCACAACCAGAAATGAAACCTTACTGGATCCGGAGAGACCAGATCACGATAGATGACAGCATATTATTATGGGGAGAAAAGTGATCGTCCTGAGCAAAGGTTGCTGCCAGATACTGGCTGAAACAGCATCAGGAATACCAATGCTGGACACAAGACACTGCGAAGCAAGAGAGACAGCTTACTTCAGGGGATGAAGTTTGATGCAGGAACTGCAGGAATGGCCTTGCATGGGCAAGAGGCATGGTCAACATGAGGGCAGGTCCAGTGATGTATTAAGTGCAGGTAACTGTAAAGGTCCTGAACAAGCATGTGGACCATGTGAAAGCTGCAAACTCGCAAACAGTGTGGGAGCAAAACATGTCTTGTTCCTCGACTGCCTTTCTAACTGTTCCAGAATCTGTGGGTTCTCCCTCTCCATCAAGTGTTGAAGATACCTCTGAATCCAAAGTGGACACGGCAGATGTCACCGCCTTGACGCTTTTGTCGCCTGAAAAGGGGTATGAATTTCTTGAGACACTCCACCGAAAGAGGCGAACACGCCGCCCTTATCAGAGGCTGAGGTGGAGGAACCTGACCCAGTGCTAAATGCCTCAGGAGGAGGTATGATAAAAAGAGCCAATTTATATCCTCGGACTCAGAGGGGGAGGGATGCAGTGATTGTAATGAGGTTGGCTAGCTGGACCTCATAGATTATGAGTTCCCTGATTGGTGCTGTTAACCTGGTCCAATCAGGGAGCTCTGGCTGAGAGACATAAACAAGAGTGTCAGAGGTTCTGTTCACTCTGAGAGCTGGCTCTGTGGGAGCTGGATCAGTCTGAAGGACTTTCCACATGCAAACAATGGGTGACTTGGTGACAGGATACTGGCCTCTGTGGAGTTATTTCATACAAATTCTTTTCATTTACACCCAGTAGAACAAGAGGGTAAAGGATAAGTTTTTTAAATAGTAAATTTATCACAACAAGAAGTGTATCTTTATAGAGTTACAAAATATTTTGCAGGAAAAGTGGTCAGTCAAGGTATTGATCTCATTATAGCATCTATCAAGAAACTAACAGATGCTATAATGGTCTGAGTAATATCCTAGAAGCCTAAGATTAAGTTATCTGGACAAATATATGGACAATAGAAGAGGAGGAACATCTATGAGCAGAGGTAAGACATGATCTGCCCATAATTATGATAGATGCCCTTTAATTCAGATAAGTACAATATGATGCAATTAGGCAAGGCCAACAGGGGCTAAACTACACATGGCACTTACACAAAATGAGAAAAAACACCTTGGCATTATTGTTACAATTCTCTAAAGTTGATGACCAGACAAAAACGGCTTTTATTTACATGGCACACTTTGTGACCACTGAAGGTCGTAGAATGCAAAGTAGCAAATGAATTACTTTTTAAAGTGTGGTCACTGTTGTAGACAGAAACCTGGCAACTTATATGTGCACAGGAAACTCTGGTGCTCACAAACAGCTTTGTTATTATGACCAGATAATCTGATGTCTTTTAAAAAGTAGAGTTAATAGTAAGTAGCAAAGATTTTAATCAGCTCTCTGATTGGAAGGTGGGAAGCCTTTTAAAATGTGGTAGAAATTGTCAGTATGTGACATGGACAACTTCCTGTGACAATAGGATATTCTCAATGGTGGGAATCAATTAATTATCCATTAATGGCCTCTTCCTACCCTTGTCAGGATTTTATTAGCATTGGGAAGGGCCCG